GGAGTATGATTGTATCTCATCCTTATAATCTCCTAAAAAATGAAGTTTCTCGCGAGTTTATCCGATCGTTTCGCAACAAGCACGAAATGTTCATGAATCCTGCCTCGTCCGCGAGTCCTGAGAACCAACCAAGGACCATCGGCTTGGCCACGTTCCCACCGGCGCCGCGGGAGCCTCCCGCTATTTTCTTAATGTGGCAGCGTGCACAGACCGAAGAACAAACGAGCGGTCGACCGGTGTGCGCGTCCACGCTCACACGCGCGCGAAAGTACACGCGGGTCCGAGAAAAAGCCAACCCCGTAGATGGCATTCGATCGTGACCTCGACGTCTGCCTCCACCACCACCACCACGGGGCCAGATGTCACCCCTGTGTGACTTCCACGACGTCTTTTCTTACCTACCTACCCCAATCTACCCCTGCTCTCCTCCTCTGTCGCGGTTTCTCTCTCTTTGTTCTCGTTCCTCCCAATTCATTTTTATTGACTTCCCTCTGCTCCGCCTTTTCCGTCGCGGCTCTCTCCTCAGGTGATCCGAAATTATTATCGTCTCACGGCTGATCCGGCCGCCGCGTTCACGTGCCCTTTGTTCCTTCCTCGCGGATCACCACGGCGAACGACTTCTTTTCACCCCGCCGCGTCGCGAACGAAAGTAGAGGGAAAGAGTGCGTGCTTGCTAAGGCAATATTATGAAAATATCCGAATGAAATTACTTGCCTTTCCGCGACTGTCATTAGCGTGGCTTTACTCATTCTGTGGAAAAATGTTTGAAACGCGACACTTTAGCAGCCGACCTCGTCGAAATGAAGATAATCACTATTAATCGAGAAAATCAACGGCACTTTGCGCGAAGCCAAAGGGAGAGAAGGATGAAATTTGCGCGCGTATTACGCTCCTGCAGGATTATGAAAGTTAATCCTCCTTGAAACCCGATGATGCCTCGTGTGTTGCTAACGCGGATCAAATTGTGAAGGAGAGATCGCGAAATATTATCCAGTTGCTATGAGGCTTATGAAAAACCCATTTATACGGCGGTGTAATTGAGTTTGGCGAAAAAATTATGAAGGCAGATTTTCCATTTCGATACCGCGCGTACGGCGGATTATCTGGGATTTTCCCAGGAACGCGAGCACATCCCGGAAAAGATTGGACATTCGGCGGGTCGAACGTAGCGCGAGAGCACATCAAGTTTAACACGGCTCGAAAGCGTGTTAGAACATTTCATATTTATTGTCCGTCGTTCTTGAGTCCAAAATGTCTAAAGTTTTCCTTTTTCTTTCCGTGACGTTAATCGTAGAACATCGTTCTCCTCGGGATATCAGTCGATGCTTTCGGGGCACTCCGTAAATTGAAGTCGAGCTGTCTCGATAGCGAAAGGTTAAGAGCGTGGCGAGGGTGGCACGCGGTGAAAATCGTAGCGAGCCGAAATCGTTGTGGAAAAACGAGGCGCCGGGCGACGAGATAGCGACTACTGGTAAGGAAGACAGAGAGAAAACGAGTGGCTGCGAGAGAGAGAGAGAGAGAGAGAGAGAGAGAGAGAGAGAGAGGCGATTGCAAAGAGGAGGGAGGAAAAAGGAACAGCACGACGGTAACTTCCCGAAAAATTAATATCCCGTGGGAAGGAGGGTGCACCGGCTGCTTGGCTCTCGGGGACTCTTCCGCGCGGAGAAGCGAGAAAACGACGGATGGCATCGGCGATGGTGGTGGTAGTGATGATGGTGTGATGGTGTGATGGCGGTGATGCGAAAACGGTCCGAATGGAAAGCCGGCGAAACTTTGTTTTCCGAGGCGATTCTCTCTCGTTTCTGGCGGAGGAAAGAGTGCGAGGAGGAGGACGAGGAAAACAAGGAGTGGTGGTCGAAGGGTGCAGCTCGAAGGCACGCGAAGGGACTAGACTTGGTGCTCGCGGCTCAGCTTCCTGAAGAAGAGAGAGAGTTGTCTACGTGCTCGGCTCGTGGCCGCACGATCGGTCCGTTCGCCGCCATTGCGCTACTCGAGCGATCGGCTCGACCGGACGGTAGAATTTAATTGGGCTTGTGACCGCTTGACCGGATTAATTAGTCGGCCGATTGCGTCCGTCGACGATCTCTCTCTCTCTCTCTCTCTCTCTCTCTCTCTCTCTCTCTCTCTCTCCCTCTC